ACCCCACAGTTCCCCAGTACTACAGAGCATCAAAGCAGGCAGCCCAGGGAGTGGGAGCGCTTGGTGCTGTCACCTCCCACTTTTGAAGTCATTTGATGCTGAATTCTCCTGATCACCCACTGCTCTGTCAGCTGTGGTCTTCTGTAGACTTCTTCCCTCCTCAGCTACCCCAACAAACCTTTTCTTGGTCCCTTTTATTTCTGACTTCATCACGCTCCTCCACCTTATACCTAAGTGGTCCACACCACTTCTGTTATCACCCACAGTTTAGCAACGTTGTAATCTGACTCTCTATTTTCCAGCCTCCTCCTCACATCACCAGGCTACCTTGCCATCTCCTTCCAACAACCACAGCCAGCATATTTCTCTACCAAAGTCGCCTATCAACTGTTTGCTTTTCGGTTTCATTATTCCTCTCCAATATGTCTAGAAATAACTGTCAACAATTTTACTTGTAACAATGCATCTTGTTTCCTTAGCGGCTCCCAAACGTACTCACTTCTTTTTCAGGGATGTGCGTAACTACCACGCTGTCCATGCCTGCTCTACTTACTTGCAGTAATTAGACAGTGCCCACAGACTGAGACTGCAGCCTCACTGAGCTAGACACCGCATCCTCGGATAGGAGGCTCTCCTTGTGCCAAAGAGGTGCCAATCTAAATAGACAAGTGACAAAAAATGGTGGAAGTTAAGTTGGATTTTTTTTTTCCTTACAAACGGGGGAGCAAGGTGCAGGTTGATGAAGTAAGCTGCTGGATCGTTTTATCTGGTAAAGCAAAAATACATAATTTCCAGTATTTGTCCCACTTTTATTTCCTCTTTTGGATCCAATGATTTGAGAGACTACTAGTCAGAGATGGGTCAGTGCCCTGAAGTTAGAATGTCTTTCCCTCAAAGGCCTCCAGGTTGAAAGCTGTATCCAAGAACCTTCTGAGAGACACCAGATGTGTGTTCTTGTTGCCTGTGGCAGCTGCAGCAGCAGGCTCTCGGCCAACATACCTTTGTGACAAAAAGAATTGGGCAGACAAATGAGGAGAGAAGAGAGACTATTTTGACACTAACAAGCATAAGAACAATGCTGCTAAATGCATTCAAGTCAGATTGGCAGATTTGGACATTTAATCATCAATCTTTCTCAAATAAAAAAAAATCAAAGTTGCACCATCAGTAATACCTTGTGGTCAGCTTCCCCCTCTTTTCCCCCTCCTGTCAATATTAAGCCGTATCTTCTCCCCATCCCTCCCAGGGCAGCCAGCTACGCTGTCTCATAATTAGATTAACTTGCTTTTGGCGATGAAGACTTATTCCCCTGACAGCTGCATGGGCAGATCTGAGAGGAAATCATCTAAAATGCAAAGGTACCTGGACTGAGCTCTTACAACAACTGTTTCCTCCAGATCCCTAATATTTGGAGTGAAATTCTTAAAAAAGACAGAATCTTAGATAAAGAGAGAGAAAAATCCAGGATAGCTAAGTGCTGTGCCAGGTGGCAATAAATATAGAGCTAGTTGCTACTGGTTTTCTTCTGGAACTACAAGGAGGAGCAAGATATGCATGATGTATTTGAGAAATAATCATCTAGACTTTTCCTTTCTTCACCCAAGAACCCAAACTCAGAGGTTTTGATTTGTGAAGAACCTGACCTGCCCATGAATAAAAATCAGAAACAAATTTAAAAGAAAAAAAAAAAAAAAACCCAACAAACCAACCCCAGCAAAACACCCCAAGCAAATTTAGAAGCAAACAAATCAGCCCAGGGGAGAGAGAGAGCAATTGTTTAAAGTCTCATACCATATAGGTCGAGTGTGGTTCACAATAGTGCGGAAACGAGGTTTGACATAATCATAATATCCACTGTTTTTGTGTTCCTCCTGACACCAAACTAGATCAGCACCTGGATACTTCTCAAGTTCTTCTTTCAGCAGGTCGAAAGGGAATGGTGAGATCTGGAAAGAGAGGATAATAACTGGCAAAGCTTTCTCTTACATGGTGTTAGTCCATGGTAGAAAGCCTTTTACCTATAGGGTATTACAATTAACCATTAGTACCTAATAGAATTGCTGTATGTTCTTTAAAGCGAGTCATATTTCTTTAATTGATTTCATGCTGTCAGAAATGAATACACGCTTATTATATAGTTGCACCAGTATAAACGTAAGTAGGTCGTAGTCCAGATGTCCTGCATTCCTACAGTTTTCCTAGTGAAGTAGCTGTGACAATACAAGTCCTTAATTAGTGAATGACAATATAGCTGCAAAGTGTACTATTCACAACATTTAAACATAGCAGATTGGATACACAAACTTAAGGCGCCATCATATTGTAACCTTCACTTTGTTATGTTGTTCTGGAAAAGTCCCAAGCTTTCTGGATCTCATTGTCCACTATACTATTAATGTGTTCCTTCTCCACAAGGCCATGAAGGATTAGATAATGTCTTGTAAGATGCAAAGTGCTATAAAAATGCTATCACCATCCTTTCTGGCAAGTGATACCTATTTAAAAGCAGAGGAAACCCGTGCTGAAAGTCTCCCCATCTGAGGATCAGGGAGCTCACCTGTTCAAGTCTGGTTATAGCTACTTGTTTCTCCAGGTCTTGATTCTTTCTCTCTTTCACAAGATCGTAGTACACTTTTCCTGTGCAGAAGATCACTCGCTTGACTTCATGTGGTACATGAGCTGCCAGCCCATTCTCAGGAATCACACGTTGAAAAGTGGTACCTAGTTAGAGCACAAATTAGAAGAGTGCTCCCAGTGGAACTGACATTGTAATAAGGCAGCCCAAGAAACAGTCCTTTACTGAGCCAGCAGCAGGTTGCAATGGTCATGGGGTTCTGCCGCCTCTCTATTCCTACTTTTCAGACCGGTAATTCTGCTAAAGGGACTTTCAGTAGTTTAGTTTCAAGGAGTTGAAAGATTGTCAATAATCCACTCTTTCACACTTAATAGACAGAAACATTATTAACAGTGGATTCTTTTTTAGCTTTGTGTTGTGCATTACACCTTTAATTTTAAATTGATTGGATAGCTCACCTTTGCTTACAGTTTTTTTCAGAGAATTACCTGAAATATTGTTTCTTCTTTCCAAGATTATCTCAACCATGTAACATTAATATAGGTTTAGAAAATTTAGAACATCTTTATATAAAAGCATAGCACATATTCATAATGCAACTAAATCTGGCAACTGCACAAATATTTACACAAGCACAGACATTACTGCCATATATTTATGTGATTCAAACCTCTGCTTGAGAGCTAAAACAGTATTAGCCAAAGGAAGAATTAGCATAGTACTGAGCCACATGTGTAAGTGATAAAATACAATTTCAGATGCATATCCTTGCTGCTAGATCTCTTTTCCCCTGTGATATCATCTCCCAGGAGAACAATTTGCTTGGGAGACATGAAACTGGAAGAGGGACTTGATGGTCTCTAAAAGATCTTTGCTTTGCTTTCTTGTATGATTGATTAGAACTATTCCCACATTAACCAGCTGCAAGGTAGCAGACAGTGGCATGACCTCCCAGTCTGAATCAGCACACCCACTTACCAGGAGAATAAGCTCCTGTTTGAACCATTTATCTTGGGGGGAGAAAAGCAGCAGCAGAAACATATGAGAGAGGAACTGATTTATGTCAGAATTATCTTGTCTCACTGAATAGCAGAATTCATCATTACAAAAGACTGAATCTGCGCTTCACTGGGTCAGCTGGAGTCAGTGTTCCTCTCCTCAGCTTTCCGTTAAAAATCAGACAGAAAGAGTTAGCTGACAGTCAGCAATACTTTACTACTTGCTGTCCTCTTCAGCACGAACATGGAAGTATGTCAGAATTCAATGTTAATTAGGAGTTTGGCCACTGTTGAGTGTTAGCTGAAGTAGAGGGGCCTCCCAAGACAAACTGACAAATCACAATCCCTACAGAATTTCTAATCTGACTCATTCTACAAGGCTTTTAAACAGTAATCAAAACCAGCGAATGTCTTTGCTTGAGAAGCAAACGTCATTCACCTACAAAAAGAAGGTAATGCAATATTTAAACATGTTTATACACTGTAGCTTGCTTTTAAAAAACTGAGCAGTTACTCTTTTCTGACAGCCATCAAGACACCCACTAGAACTGGAGACAGACCACCACACCTATGCACACTCTCTCACTCTGAACAATCGCTTTAATCACTCACTCACTACATTTCACCACATTTCCTTATGCCACTCTAACATGTTCTAACCAGTGTGTAGCAAGACAAATCACTCCAGTTTTTGGTATTACCTTTGCAGTCATTACATATCTCTTGGTGCTGATGGCATGCCAACAGCAGCTAGGGTGGTACCCTACAGCTCTGAACTCACTGATCTCACTTCAGATCACTGGTGTGACATGGCAGCCCCAGAACTGAGTACTGTAAGAAGAAATGGGCCCCTCATTCTTCCAAATGGACACGGTGTGATTACAACCTATCCCTCTCAGCCTGGGGGGGGGGTGGGTGGGCAGTACAAAGAACAATTCAATTTTTATATGAAGAGAAAAAGAGCGGAGGGACTTAATACCCTGTTGAGGGGAACTTCCCTGCAGAGAGGGGAATGCACTTTCCACTGCCTTTGAGATTAATGGTTGGTTACAAGATAAGCCTGTTAAAATTGAGAATCCATACTTGAAAGCAGACTTTTCAGCAAAAGTCCATGCCAGATCTCACTACAACAGCTCCACAGAAATTACACCAAAGGAAAAGGCAAACTCTCCAGAGCGGATTCTCTTCTTCACAGGCTGACATGCAACTTGATATAGCTAATTATTTGTCCATAATACTTTAAGGTGACCTACCAGACACCATTTCATCAAAACTTGATTTAGCTTCTGGATGCCTCAGCAGTGACTTAGGTGTCAAAATAATCAGCTGTAAGACAGAAATTTTTTCAATGCTCAGGAGCTGCTTTATCTACATTATTACATGCCACATTTTGTAACACTGTTCATACAAAACCCACAAACTGAATATGGTATAGATCAAATTAATGTTAACAGCAAACACAGTAAATTATTTTTTACTGTTTTGAAAGCCTAGCAAGTTTCAAAATTATTCAGAAGATTTGGGTAGTCCACTCCCTTTAAAGGTTCTCAAAAACCATTGCTTATGCTTCGCTTTGAGAACAAAATCAGATCACAGGCTATGAACCAGTAAAACATCCAACAGTTGTATCTTAGTTTTTTGAAGTTCCAGCAATTAGACATACAGATTATAATTATGCAACCTGTTAGCTACAGTGTCTACAGTGCAAGCTCGTCTGAAGGTCTGCACAGCCAGAAAGAAGTAAAGCTGAAAATAAAGTTTTAGAATCGTAGTAAGTCAGAGCTCAGTTTCGTTCCATCAAATCAGTGACTTCAACCTGTGTTCAATTAAGGTTTTTCACAACAATTCTTGTTCTTTTCAGCAGTATGTCATATGCAAAGACCCCTCTTTATGTGAGGGTTAATATACCTAGAATAATCAAGTCCATTACAGTAACATTACCGGTTTTCTGAATGGCAGCAAGATCTGTCTTCTGAGGACGTGAAAGTAATTGGCTGGGGTTGAACAATTCACCACAATCCAGTTGCATTCATACAGCTGGGAGACTTCAAACTGCTCACTGAACTCCTGAGAGAGACATTAAAGGCATTAGAAAAATGTCTAAAAGATCAGAAAAAAAGGCTTGAAAGCCATCCTTCTATTTCTGACTCTCAGCAACTCCCTTCCTCAAAAAACTTAATTAGCAGATCTCTGCTGATATTATATTATTAGCTAAGGAAGTATCCCTACAAATCATTCTTGTCTGTTTCTACTTCTTCCTAAAAATGTATGCAAATAAAGGCAAAAAGTTTCCATTAATTTCAGCAAGCTGGGAAGTCCAGGAAGGAAGGGTGAGGACGACTAGGACTTCAGTAGGTGGAAGACACAAACTAGAACCCCTTTGAAAGAATCTTAAAACTAGAATTCATTTTTCAGGTGTATGGTTAACTCTCTCCCATTTTTTGGTAGGTGTCCTGTCCTCTTATACTATTTTAATACATAAATTTAATATGTTTTATATTTATATATTTTATGAATATAGGGTTTTTTAAATCCATATCAATGTACATATACATTAGGTAAGCATACATATAGGTACAGGTACAATAATCTCATTACAGATGGGTACAGCATCTAACATGATTTCCTGGTCCATGGTTTGAGCTCCTACCTTCTATGATAAAATTTAGAACTTGCTTATTATGCACAACTGACAGTGCTTAAGTGTAGTCAGTGAAACGGGTCTTTATTCTGACAGTACACTGACAAAAATCACTTTTAGATGAGGAGAGACATGGCGTTGGAACTATCATTGCCCCAAGGGTAACAAATTCAGGGCCAAAACCGAAACATGCATTTTATTTTGCTTTTTTTTTTTTTTCATTGGTAGGCTTTTCAATTAATGTATAGCAGCATTTCTTAGGAAATCTGCAGTGGAGAAGTGGATGCCCAAGTACCCTGTAGAGCTACGTACTTTATCTGTAGAAATGAATGACAGTGTATGAAGGTCTTAGCTGAATCAAATTTAGACATTGCTTATTTTCATGCTTTCACCAGTATAATTTAGCTCCACTGCAAAAAGCCAGGAGTAGTCTCACTTGGCCTCCTTTAGCAATTAGCTAGAGACACCTATTTGCAATATGCACAGCAATATAAACAAGCAGAATCACTGGCCCTGAGGAACAACCATAAAAAGATCACGCTGCCAGAGATTAGTTGTATATGACCTCAGCTTTGAAATGAAGCAGCACATACTGCATACTTCCATTACTTTTACTGGGATCAAGTTAATGTTACACCAACTCTTGAAGCTAAATCTTAACCCGCTATACCTAGCTAAAAGGATCGTTCTTACAAAAAAAAAAATCTCTGAAAGGTGAAGAGCAAAAAAACCAGATGGCCTTTGACAAATCTACTTACTGGATAAGCATCAGAATCATCATTGCTCATCTGCAGAAACCTCTCAGGCCTGGCTGATGAATGCTCTGGACCCTGGTAAAGGTATCATGTAAAACAACATTAAGAAGCCAGATCAGCAGCTAGACATCAGTCTAGGTCACTCACTGCGTAAATAGCTCCTGTCACCCTGGCAGCTCTGCACCAGGCTGCACACCCACCCCCCCAGCCAAAAGCATCAATGGCAGCTGCAGTGAGAGAGGAGAGGACACACCGCAGGACCGGAATTCTTTGTCTTCTGTAAACTGTTTTCACAGAAGAAGATTAGGTTTTACATGCATTTCCATTTCTAGCCTCAGTATAGCTGCACAATGAAGACTAGTGAAAGGGCAGTAAGTCCATGTGGGCACAAGAACAACTTTGCTAATGCAGGGCAAAAAAGGAGCAGGAGGAATGTCAGGAGGAGAAACACCATGTGCCTCACTGTTTCTCACTCACACTTCTTTGGGCCAAACCACACTTGCATGCTGAAGAGGGGCAAACACAAAGTTAACTGTTGACTCTCTTTGCTATATTAGCAACACAATCTCTCTCCTACCATTGTTCACTGTTCAGTACAGAACAAAATAGCCTAGAAGAATGCCTCAGCTAAAATGGATCAAAATACATGTACGCAATATCTGCCAAACTAACCTATGATTAATTTCTGCCTCCTCAGAAGGCATTTTACATTCTGTCAAAGTACTGAACGCTCACATCCGCTGTCTCACTAGCAGCACCCAAGGTAATTTCTTTTAGTGCACAAACGTTGTTATATCCATTTTACACTAGCAAAACCTGCATGCTGGTCACAGACAATATCAGGAATAAGGAGCGTAACGGAATCTATTACCTTCCTTCTCGTGTCCTTGTTTATAAAGGATGAGAAAAAGCTGTGAGGAGTACGAGTATGCAGTGTGCTTTTTTTATTTATTGCTAATGCTGGCAGCCTTTGCTTGTTCAAGTGACAGTTACTGTTAGGAAGGACTTTCATTTTGGAGACAGTTCCAATGTATTTTAACCTGAAGACATAAGCTATTACACCTCTCAAATCTCTCCATGGATCCTAAACTAACAATGTTCAAAAAGAGCTTTTTTCTTTATATGGCCGCCTCTCATCATAACTTCCTTTGTTGAAACCTTAACATAGGATCTCCAAAATCACTCATTATTTTGACAGCTAGTAGTCCACCTTGATTCAACACATCATCCTCCCTGCTTCCAAGTGCAGGATTCACTCCATGGACTAAGGGAATTCAAAGGAAAAAACACCCCATTGGCAACAAAGGAGTAACACAAACAGCCAGGAACTGTGCCTTGCATAATTACTCTTTTGAAGTCTGTCTCCAGTTTTGAGGTTCCAAATAATCTGGTCATAAACGGCTTGAGAACAAGAAGCAAAGCCGTGCAAAACTATGGTGCACAGTAACAGTCCAATATTGCAATACCTCTTCTGTATACATCCATTTGCTGTAAATCAAATCAAACACTAAGTACAAATATAGGGCACACTGAATTCAGTACGCTGGAAACAGAGATGTTACTAGCAAACCATTATGGGAGAGACACACGAGGCTTCCCTAACATACACACATACGCTGCCCCAGCAACACCCTCGATCCACAGCCTCCATGTTCACACCCATCTTTGATTTCTCTGCTGACACCGCCAGTCAGATTGCCAGCAACTGCTGCGTGGGATGGGGCAGGGTTTATTTCTACTGTGACCACCTATCCAGTGAGACTTATACTGAATCCATTAGCTACTTTCAGATGAGTCCCCAAGGAGCCATTAGGCAGCAGAGACTTTCAATCACAGCCAACTTGCCTGTGAATGCATGACCTAGAGGTGAAGAGATCCATATCCCATTACGAATCCTTCCCCAAATCATTCTGTCCCCAACACTGTAGTTATAGAGAGAATAACACTCCTGTAATGGAAAGCTCCTCTGGGAAGATAATGGATTTCAACAGCCTGGTGGGATCCTTGAATATTCCAAAACCACCTGACACTAGTAGCAAAATAAGCATGTTTCACAAGATCTGGGCAAATCTTAGCTGCCAAGCGGCTAAGAGAAAAGAAAGATTAACTGTATCACAAATAGCAGAGAACCAGCTCCCTTCAGCTGAGCACTTCCCTGCAGAGGACCACACCTCCTG